AAATAGAGCCTTTAAATATGCCTCATGGGATAAGCACCCCATTTGAGTACTTATGCTAATTTTTACACAATATATCATTAAAATGTTTGTGAGAGAGAATAATAATAATAACTAATAAGTATGCAGACAACTTTCTCAGTAACACCCAGCTCAAATAAACCATAATTGGATGCACAATGGTGAAAAGGATTGCTCTGTGTGAAGCAACAGAAAAGTACCCCGAGGGCAGGAAAAGGAGAACTCTGTGCCAGGGGTGTCTAAAGGGCCTCCATGGGCCTTATTTCCCAAAACACATGTGTTAGGATCCATTCATGCGTCATCCATCAAAAAATTCACATAATTTACACAGGTAAGTCATGTTTATTCTCAGTTGAAATTGACGAGTCTGTTTACGTGCAGAAAAAATCATGTCAGGCGAGTTTTGCCACAACAATGGGTCTCTGGAGGCATTTGTCAGGAGATTAGTGGGTGTTGCATGTTTTGTGTACATATCCTGCTGGGCACAACAGTCATGTCAGATCAATAGAGAGCATATAATGCAATTGGCACCACTCCGGGATTGACTCATCAAACGTTCATTTATTCTGTTAAGTTTTTGGATCCAAACTCAGGTGCCAATAGCCAATACCCAAAGCATCGAACGTTTGTGGAAATCTGCAAAAGAGAGAAACAAGCGCCACAACGGCACACACAGACATATGCTCGACTTGTCAATGTGTGAGTTCATGTGGCGTCAACGTGTTAAAGTAAATGGTTTTTATGTCTTCAACTCCATTCTAGACGATATTGTTCAATTTTGGCCACCACAGTAGCAGAGGACCTTTAAAGAAGTATGTATGTTTTTATTTAAAATAACATTTGTTTTAGTTTTATTGGAAGTGTGAAGTGTTTTAAGTTTTAATGGAAATGTGAAATAATGTATAATAATTTGTGAATAAGTATTTTAAGCTAATTCAGATTGAACAGGTTTAGGGATACATTTTAGGGTTCATGTTAGGTTTAGGAATACATTTAGGGTTCAGGTTAGGTTTAGGGATACATTTTAGGACATAAGTTCGTGGGTCACGATAACCAAGATGGCGGCCGCGGGCTGATCTCTCCGAATTGTATTTTATTCAAAAGAACATTTGTTTGATGGGAAGTGTGAATAATAATAATTTTTTGCGGTGAATTAAAATTGAAGTATCCACTTCTGATACCGGGTCCCAATAGTCGCAGCCAAACTTTTCATTACAATTACAGATAATACAGTATCAGAGTATCAGTAGCCAATTTGCCGCCAAAAAAAACAACAACTTTGATCTTGAATGATGTCATGTTAATGATTATAGAACTACATTTAAAATAGAATTAAAAAATACAATAAAATTATAAACATAAACGTATTCTTACTTGCTTTTAGCTGTTCTTCGTGTTTCTTCAACGCCACATGAAAATATGGCACATTTCTCGATGGATAATAAAGGCTCTAAGATCTAAGATGGCAACCCAACAGGAAGCATCTGTCATAACCATCACGTGACCAACCGAACACTTATAAAGACCTCACGTTACCAGCTTGATCCGAATAGCTATTTGCTACTATAGATACCCGGGTACCTATAGCTACTCCATTTTGGTAATTAGGTTTTTTTATTTTTTTTTAGGGTTCAACTTTTCTTTCTTTAAAAAAAAAAAAACAATCAAAATTTGTGACATTTTAATTACTGTTATTTATTCCACTTTAAATATTAATAATTTCAAGGTTTCAACAAGTAATGAAATAAATATTCTTCTTTGATTATAAAAACAATAAACAGCATTAGGCCCATGTGATATATTATTTATTTATTAAATAAGTGAGGGAGGAGCTTGCCATTTTCAGCCTCTGCACCGGGCGCAGCTTTCCTCGACGTGGGCCCTGTGTCTGTATAAGTTTAATATGAGGATCGCCTGAAACCCTTTGTAAAAGTGCATTCTATGCACCTACTCCTTCATCCCCCCAATCTCCAATTTTTACCCACGTTTTTATTTTAGTGGTATATATACCAACACGTTTAATTTTTTTTTTTTTTTTAATTTTAAGTTTTGATATTGTATGATAATTAATGGGTGCGTATAGTCAGCACTTGATTTCAAACTGCTGAGCCTTACATCTGAAACCCGTTGTAAAAGTTCCTTCTATGCACCTCCTCCTTCATCCCCCCAATCTCCAATTTTTACCCACGTTTTTATTTTTGTGGTATATATACCAACACGTTTAATTTTTTTTTTTTTTTTAATTTTAAGTTTTGACATTGTATGATAATTAATGGGTGCGTATAGTCAGCACTTGATTTCAAACTGCTGAGCCTTACATCCCTAACAAACTTGTGTAAATAAATAAAATTCTAAATTCAGTACCAAATTCAGTTTTTTTTCAACATTTTATACGTTTGAGTTAGCTTAACCTTTAGCTTCCAAATGGAAATATGATGTGAATAAACGTTCCGATTCTTATAAAATATAATTAGATAGACCTAATTTCAAATATATAGGCTTCTACATTGGATAATTATAAGTTTTCTAAATGAGCAGACAACGCCAAGTTTTTCGGTGTCTCTCTCACCAGAGTCACCACTGCCACTACCACACTAGTCAATTTATTTTAGGTCTAAAGAATTTAAAGTTAGTTATCTTGCTTTTAGCTATACACGTAAACTTTTTATTATCAAGTGAAGATAGAGATGACACAAACAGCTATGAACCTGACTCCAAATTTAAAGTAGTTGTGGAAGAAGCGAAAGCCCCTAGGTAAATTTACTTCTTCTATTTCTATCAAGGAATACTTTCACTTTGATAACAAACATATATAATATAATAGTTATTAAGCTAGTTACTTTGCACATTGTTATTAGTCACTTACTTATTCAGTCTATTGCAGCAGTTCTTAAACCATGGTGTTTCAGGGGCTCATAAGAGTTTGATATAATTAAACTTTATAAAGAAATAAAGACAAATCTATGAAAGGAAATCTTTTTGTGTTTTTTTTCTTTGTGGGAGTGGGGGATGGTAGTGGTGGTGGAGTCCTAATTATAGTATTGATAAAAATGATATGACATGGCATGAGGCTATGAGCCCGTGGCCGTGGTATAATTGGGTTGCCCAGGGATCTGTTTGTAATTTTTCTATGTGCACTTGCGCAATAATTTGGATATTTTCAATTTGTGCTATTTTGCTGTTTACACACCATTGTCAACAGATTGCAACATAATATAATAATTATTGATTTTTGTTTATAATTGTGGTGTAAAGAATGTAACACCTACAGCTGAGACTAGGCACGGAAAGGGACAGGCGATGGTCATCAACAAACGTATCTAAATGTTACAATTAAGTAACTATTTGCCTCCTCTTGTAAGCTAGTAGGGACATTACTCTCCTATCTTCATTCAAGAACATAAGTAACAGCACTGCTGTCTATACAGTTAAAAGCCAAATCAGAAGGGAAAAAACTGACAACTTGAAAAAATCCCTATTACTATTAAATTTAACTCAATTCGATCCCTTTTCATCCTGAATTATCATTAGTCAGCATTTATCTCTGTCCATCATCTACCACTGCCAAACATGGGCCTCTTAAAAACACCCCAAAAATCTATTTCATAGTAAATTGATAATAGTTTTAATTACAAAGTAATATAGGTATAATATAATCCATCCAACTGAAAATAAAGATTATGATAATTTGTGTGGAAGCTGCTCTTGAATAAATTTAAAAGATACCAGTTACTCAAATACCTGAATGGGGTCTTAATGGGGTGAGACAAGTATGTGATGTATCCTCAGAAAAACAATGACAGGATAATATTTTCTGATAAAACAAAGAAATTAATAAATATTACTAAGATATTGCACCTTTGCTTGCTTTTCAGATTTTACTTGTGTAAATACATTTTCTATAACTTATAATAGCTTTAATAATACTATTGTGTAAACATAATGTCAATAATTCAATGTGAATTTTCTCAAAAGCTTTCTGTTTCATTTTTTGTAACAACAAAAAACCCATTAAAAGTTGCCAAGAAGGCATGCATTTTGGCATTGATTCCTCTTATAAGTATATCCCAGTAAGGATGTGAATTAAGAGGCATTATTTGACCTCTGGTACTGGAAAAAATAGAACTGCATTCATGAATAACAAAAAAACAACAAATTTTTTTTTTTTCAAACAGATATCTCTTGTATGATGTAAACCCAGGAGAAGGATTCAATCTGAGACGAGATGTCTATATGCGAATAGCTGTTCTAGTGCAGAACTTGAATGATGCTGCCCCATGGATATTAGTACTACCACCTTGGAGTCGCCTCTATCACTGGAAATCACAAGATGTTGGCTCACAAGATATGATTCCTTGGTCTACATTTTTTGATCTTCCAAGTTTGAGAAAATTTGTTCCTGTTATGGAGTTTGAGGATTTTTTAAAAAGTTAGTGTTTTTTAAGGGAAAACACGAGAAATATAGGTCCTAATTTTGATTGCGTGGTTTATGACATGAAACATGACCCAAAAAAACATTGATTCTGTCTCTTTATTTTTTTGCTGTTTTATTTATAATTGTCATCAATGGATATTAATCTATATATATTATCTTTTTCTATATCTCAAATTATCATTTATATTGAAAATTATGAATTAAAAATCATCATTTTTGAAATCTTTACTTTACAATTTGAATTAACTCTTTTATATTCCATTTATAATACAGCAGATAAGAGGAAATTAATATTTTTTCAAAATACCATGTCAGTTAATTCATTTAGGCTGAGATATTAATTTTTTGGAGGTTTAGAGGTTACAAAATAAATTTAATGTCATAGTAGTTAAATTATAATATATCATTAATTTTGTATGTGAATTTGATCAAACCATTTGAGAGTATCTTCTGAACTATAACCTTCTTATTCTGATAGTTTAAGGTCAATATTCCTTATATTATTGCTAATTAAATTATTTATCAAGCATTATCATTTGTGTTACAGTAAACAGAGAGCCAGTGATTGATGAACTTTATTATCTTCAGAACTACAAAGAAGGCTGGGACAAGTGGGAAGAAAAAATGGATAAAAGGCCATGCATAATGAATCCTTATAATTTTGTGAGAAATTAAGCACAAAGTGCAATTTAATGTTTAGCCTACAATTCTTTTATTTGGTTCAGGTTTCATCTAACTATGAGGTTAGAAAATTGTTATGGAATAATTGAATAAAGTATTATTGCTATAGTAGTTGTAAAATAATAATATTTGAAAGAATTACATTAATTTTAATATAAAACTAAATATCATTTGTAAGTGTTTATTTAAAAGAGCTTTGATAATAAAATTTAAAATAATGAGTCTAAACATTTAAAAATGATATTGAAATATTGTTCTAAAAAATTTTGTTACATCTTATTCCTGCATTATTATTTTTAGGTTTGTAAGCAAATAATTATCATTTCAATTACAGGATTCCAAAAACAAACTGTGGTATGGCTGGTTTTTTGGTTACAATGATGAAGTGGCAGCACGGAAGTTTGAGTGTATATCTGTGATGGGACATGCCAGCATTTTTAAGCCTTTTCTCTTGACCAATACCTCTGCCAGGTAAATAAATTTATGTATTATAAATTTTGTAGCCTAAGAGTTAAGGGTCCCTTAAATGTTTTTCTTAATATATGTAAAACATCAAGACATTATCTATATTTTTTGCTGTGCATTCACTATTAAGGTCAGTGATGCTAGACAGAGCAGAAACTGTGTTACATGACCGTTATGGAGACTCTGTGTTTTGGAAGGTATGTAGCCTTCAATTCAACCTGACTTATCTACTATATGAAGCTCAGTGTGACTATATTTGTTTATTTGTATGCATTTTAATTTGCTACTTGATAACAAAGGATCCACACCATGGTTCGCAATCAAATTTTACATGGTCCTACTTCCTGACCAACACATGGTTTCAGGAAAGTTTTGTCAAAATCCCTTCTAAAAAGCTGTATTTAAAAATTATTTCAATGTATAAAGTCCAAAAAAATATTGCAATGTACAGAGCAGGGGTCTCCAAACTTTTCAGCCCGAGTGCCGCATTAACTATCGAACAGTAGTTCGCGGGCAGACTGCACACTCGAGCAGGGTTTCTTTCAGCATTATCTCGGGGGAGGGGGGGGGAGCCAAGTGCCCCCCGAAGCAAAAATATTTCCAATTATGAAATTTCTGAAATAATCACTGCACTCGAGGTACAAATAAAAAAGAATCAAAACATGGGTGTTGTTTTTAATTATTTATATAATATTATTTCATTCAGTTAATGACCTCCAGCTGCAGTCCTTCTGGGCAACTGGCCACATCTGTTTCAAATGGGTTTTGAAAAAGTCTCACTTCTTCTGCCTTTAAATCAAGGTCAGAAAACCGCTGCTGAAAATGCAGCTGAAGGTCTTTGATGATCTCGCATGCAAATAACGTGGGGAACTCCGCTGTTGCTTCTGCCATGAAGACCGTCCACTGCTAAAAGAGAGTAAAGTTGTTGGCCTGTACTTGTTCCAAAAACAAGACGAGTTTGGATCTGAAGGCCTTTAAAAGGTGTATAGATCTTGTGTTATGTTCATGTCTTCAACAACACTCCTAACGAACACAAGCAGTTGAGAGGTGGAACAGCTGTCCAGAAATTCATCCATTGTAAATGAAAATTGGTGAAACTTGCTTGCATTTTTCGATATTTAAGTCACAATGTTTTCACCCTTGTCTGCAACACAACGTGCAAAGCTCCGCCACTAAATGGCGTTATATCATGTCATTTCATTGACTGTGAACGAAAGTAGAAAAACTAAGCATCGAATAAGGTTTTGCAAAGTAATGATCGGTTAGAAAACATAACGCACTATTGCGTGGCTCTATTTTAATTTGGTAAAAATAACGCCTACGTAAGCGGCGTCTGATCATGTCAGGATACACGTACATTTGCGCAATTTTTTATTCCGTTGACAAAAGGTATCCGCGGGCCGCATGAGAGATCCTTGCGGGCCGCATGCGGCCTGCGGCCCGTAGTTTGGAGACCCCTGGTATAGAGTAAAGAGTAAAAAAAAAATTCCAATTTACGGAGTAATGAGTAAAAAAAATATTGCAATGTATAGAGTAAATATTAACAAAAAATACTCCAATGTATAGAGTAAAAAAATATTCCAATGTATAGAGTAAAAAGTAAAAATAATTTTTCCAATGTATAGAGTAAAGAGTAAAAAAAAATTCCAATGTACAGAGTACAGAGTAAAAAAAATATTCCAATGTATAGAGTAAAGAGTAAAAAAAATTATTTTCAAATGACTTGAAAATGCCACCCTAAAAAAATCTGGGTTGTTCAGGATAAGTTATTTTTGGTGTATGCATTTTAATAACAGCTTTTATTAAGAATAGTGCGCTTTTAAATATGTATTAATTATTAGATAGTTATTGGTGCGCTTATATATATATATATATATAAATATAAAATCTGTCAATACGGTTTCAAATATTCATCCGTGTATTTTACTGGTGTAATATTTTTCTACTATTATACAGGTGAAAATTTGTCTCTTTTTACTCCATATGTTTCTACTTGGTTTAATGGATATTGATCAAACGTGGGATATGTATTTATTACACTTCATTATCCAGAAAAAAATACTAACAGGGTTTGAATTTTAATATCCTGTTTAAGGTTAGGGGCCCAAATTTCATTTTTTTTCTGATATGAGATCTGTAAATAAAATGACAATGAATTGATAAATCTATTGGTGCACATGGACTTGAAATTATATATTGAAAAACTGGAGGGTTTTAAAGCCATAACTGTCACCACTTTATGGGCCAGAAGCCCTTATTTCATTTTATCGTAAATAAACTTTATAAATAACAGTAGGCGTAGATAACAAAAATAAATGCTGAACGTGACTTGATGGATGTTGGCCAAATTTGGGAGGCATACCTTTAATATTCCATATTAAAATAGTGTTGAAGTCTCTTAAAGGTCTACCTGATGCATTTGATTTTTTCTTTTTTTTTAAAGGGTTTTCAGATTATATAAATATCCTTTTAATGTTTCTTATGTTTCTAAAAGTCTCTATGATGTACCACACCCACATCAAACTTAATGACATCAGAATTAAATTTTATTTTTTAGTTCCAAGAAAATTCTGAACGAATGTAGGAAGTTCCAAAATTTCTTTTCCTTATAATAGGCAAAGATATACACGCAGGCTTAGTTTACAATGCAAGCGTCTATGTAAACTGTTGTATCTATGCCAAACTTGGTAAACATACATACCTTCATAACCCCTTTAAAAATATCTGTGGATTTTAAATTTATAATATCCCATCCTTTTTGTGCAGTGGGAGTGGGCCAAATTTTGCAACCAATTTTAATGGGACAACTTTTAAGATAAAGGTTGTTACTTGTCCAACCTTAAGTACTCACTCCTGTAAAATATTAAAGATAAAGTCCTTTTGGCACCGGGGCCCACCAATAGTAAAACTTTAAAAGGCAACATCTTTGGCGAATTCAATACGATTTTAATGGGCTAAATTTGAAATTTAACTTGAATATTTAAATGAATAATTTTGTAGAGTTCTATCTAATTGATAAATAAATTGGCTTATTTTATAATGGGTTTCTGTTCTTGATCCTACTTTATTTTAATTCTTAAATGGCCATAGCTTTGGCAATGGTGAATACCTTTTTAAATAAGACATCTTTCAAAAGTTCGATTGGTCTTGAAATCATGTTTTTACTTGAAAAAAGCCTGGCTATTGACTGAAACAGGCAGGGCGCCAAATTCAGTGTTTACAAGTGTTTTTATTAAGCAGGGTTTTGTAAATGAAATTTTAGTGGCAGTTTAGTGAAGTGTTTTTGATAGGGCCCTATGTAGACGTGGATTGTGATAATGTTTTAAAAGCATTTCTGAATGCAAACCTTATTGATGTGGGGTATATTGGATAGTACACACATATATATATATATATATATAACATCACACAACATTCACATGTACAACTTGTGTATGGTTGAATTAAAGGCTGAAAGAGATAAAATATTTTCTATCATAAAGTATCTTAAAACCTGTATTAATATATAACATTACATGACAAAAAGCTTCTATCAATTTCACCGAAAAGAATTCAAGACATGAATTTCACAGATCAGATGTGAATTATCCAAATTTTTCCATAACAAAATCTTATCTTTATTTGTCTAAGGGAATTAATTAAAAGTCATTTGAAAGTATTGATGTCCACATGATGTTTTTAAGTATAAACAAATGAGTTAACGTGGTTTTTCTGTTATGTTCCAGGTGAGAAGGAGTATGCGATTTTCGAAGCAGTTGCGAGACGTAGCCGATGCCTACCGAAAGTTGCACTTGAACTCCACTGATGAGGAAGATAAGACCGTGTTGGATGATGACTGGATCAACATGAAGGTGAAGGCAAAAAAAACATGAAGGGAAAGACAAAAAAAAAAAAAAAAAAAGAAAGAAAGAAAGAAAGAAAGAAAAAGAGAAACACGTTTAATTGAGCAACAGTTTTTGAATTATAAAAGTAATTTTGCGAAGAAAGAAAATTTCACTGGCCTTAAAGCCCCATAAAGCCAGACTTTCTGGTTTGCTTTTATTAATATAAGTTAGTACCAATAATCAGTGACATGAGACTTGTGTGTGTCTTGTGGTCACTGCTTTTTTTGCCTAATGAAAGAACTCTTTAGAAAGAAACATAGATGTTTTCCTGTATATAAAAAGGGCATGATTCCTTTATGTTTAATATTAATTAGATGAACCGGATGTATATGCAGTTCTCTATAGATTTATTGATCATTATGCTAAAGTGTTAAACTGTGGGATAGGGGTGTGGTCTGGAGACATCTGAGAGAAATGGTTCATATTAGAATAAACACCTTTTGGGTAGGGATGAAAGCAGGAGACATCTGAGAGAAATGGTTCATATTAGAATAAACACCTTTTGGATAGGGATAAAAGCAGGAGACATCTGAGAGAAATGGTTCATATTAGAATAAACACCTTTTGGGTAGGGATGAAAGCAGGAGACATCTGAGAGAAATGGTTCATATTAGAATAAACACCTTTTCTTTGTTTTTATATATTTATTTTCAACTTGGTTCATTTCTGACCTCCCGACTTCAACTTTGGACTGTCTCATTTTTAACTCTGACCTGCTTTAAACCAAACTGAACCCATCTTACTTTGTAATTTTATATGTTATTCATATATCCAGGCCATGTCTATTTTGGAGTTGCAAGATAATCAAATAATAAGTCTCTATTTTTCCCGCACTAACCTGCCAAGTAAAACATTTGCATGTCCATAAAAAATGTGCAGATTTAGAATATTTGTCCATACATTTTTAGTTTTTTGAGTTGGAAACCCTGACTGAGACATGTTGTGAGAAGTGGTGATTCACGGGGTGTAGATGATTTGGACTTACTAGAAAGAGCTGAAGACTTTGAGAGAAATTATTCCAGGAGAAGTGCAAACTGCATTTCAGTGTCTTCAATTGTTGGTGCCATTGGCAGAGTCTTTTCCGAACTCTGCAATGGCGCACAAAATAATGTTGACGTTGCGCGCACCCATAACAAGTCCATCAAGAAGTTTTTAAAAATTAAATTTAATAAAGAACTTATTTGAGATCATCAATTTCTCAAGTATGATGGAATGGATTGTCAACATTGTCAATTGAACGAGATATTGTTACCACCATTCTAATTTTTTTCTGTTTAATTAGCTGCCCAATTACTGACTGAAAATTATTATTTTACAGAGCTAGTCAACTTGTATTTTGGGAATTTCATTTTGATAACCATGAGATTAGCAGCAACTGAACCAAGATGAGTAATTCATCTCAGGGCAATTGAACTGTTACAATTTTAAAAAAAAAAGATATTATGGAAACTAAGGGAGTAAACAAAATAGTCGGTATGACATGTCAGACCTGTTTACCCTCAAACTCTTAAAATCGTACAATGTAATCACAAACTTGTTCAATACCTTATATTTATAGTAAAAAGTAAACATACAGTATATATAATGTATACACCTCAAAATCGTACATTGTACGCCAAAATCGTAAGAGTAAACAGGTCTGACATGTCCAATCATGACCAGTAAGTCCCATTATTACAATGACATGGCTTAATATCATATTGCATGGGTAAATAATGTCAATGCCCCCCCCCCCCTATCACCAACCCACCTAACCTCAACTTTAACCTGCCCTTCCCCTTCCTTAATTCGTATGGCATTCAAATTTGACCTGTAAACTACAAATAAATAAAATAGAAATCTAAAACATTTCATATGAGGAGTTCTAAATCTTTACAGAGTTCATTTTCATACAAGGAGTCCCTAATCTCTACAACAAACCATTTTATATTTGAGATTCACCATCTGTACCAAGCACCAATTCATGTCATTGGGGATTTGAAAAAGATTTAGAGCTCCCTTATGGAAAAAAAAAGACAAATAGGATAAACAGAGATTATTTATTAATTTTATGTGTCAAAATTTCAATATAAAACCTATTTTTTCCAATGAAAGAGGAATCATGGTGATGCCAGGGGTGGTGCATATTTAGCTGTGCACCTGAGGAGAGCTGACTTTGCTAAGGTGAGGGAGAAAGATGTGCCATCTCTGAAATATGCAGCCAAGCAGATCAAAAAGTTATCCAAACAGCAAGAACTGAAGCACATTTTTGTTGCCACTGATGCTCCCTTGGAAGGTAAATACCCCTGATCATTTTTTTTCTTTTTTTTGCTTTATAGTATAGATAAATGATATAATTTTTTTCAGTGCTACAATATTCAGGTTTTGATATACATTATCTAAACAAACTGTAATGTTACATTGATTTTACTAATTTGGTTTATATAATAAGCTCTAAACTGGAGATAAGGCATGCAAGAAAGTCATAAACTTGACAAAAAGAGTCCACTAAAAATTGCCAAAAAGTTTATAGTAGTGCTATTTAAAATTTTCATGAAATAAGCAGATTTTATTATTTATAAGAAGATATTATTTTAAGTTAGAAAACTTGCACAGAAAGCTCAAAGTGATAGGATCCAACTCAAACAAAGCTGATGGAACAACTTAATGAAAATGTTTCATTGCTTACCCAGCATTGACCTCTCTTCTCCCTTAAGCAGCTAAATTGATGCATATTTTCTATTCAGCTTCAACTCTAAGAACATTTTTCTCTTACAAAACTTTTTATTTACAAATCACCGTTGAACATATAGTTATATCTAACAATTAAACGTAAGAAATAAATTAAATTAAAATTTCAGAATATAATGAACTGAAAAAGTATTTAAAAGACTATAAGGTGCACCGGTATGAACCTTCTTTCGAAGTCAAAAAGAAATACAAAGATGGAGCTGTTGCCATTATTGATCAGTGGATTTGTGCTCATGCAAGGTCAGTCATTAAACCAATCGGTGTTTAGTGGCCAGGTCAACATGCCAGAGGGGAAACAAATTTTTAAAAAATAAATTATATTGAAATGACATTTTAAAAATGATGCTTTACATTGCTTTAAACATGAATCTTTTTCAAAGTTGCATTGAAAGTATTGAAATAAATGTTCTGCTTTGTTGAAAAAACACCATTGTCAAGTAGATCACACCAATGATTTTAAAATGAGATAAGTTCTTGATCACTTTAAGTTAACTACATTTGAAAGGGTGTTGATATGTTTGGCAATAAATATCACCAACATTTGTCAGTTTTTACAAGTTATCGCAATTAAATCTAATTTATATACTTATGTTGACAACTTGCTTCTATTTTAGATTTTTGTGTGTGTCCTGTTTAAACATCTTATTGTTTATTTGCTAGATACTTTGTTGGCACTAAAGAGTCCACATTCTCATTTCGGATTCAAGACGAGAGGGAAATTCTTGGCTTTAGTCCAGACACTACATTCAATCGACTGTGCCACGAAAAGGACAAAACTTGTGAGCAGCCCACAAGATGGCTGATTAGTTATTCATGACCCAGTTTGACGTAGGGATTTACCTAATATAATTAATAATCAGAGGGCATTGAATGGTTTGATTTGAGAAATTAATATATTCAAATAAATAGTGATTCCATTGAAGTAGATAAATAGCAGCCATATTAGCGAGGTAAGGATATAATTGGTTTGCTTTGAAAAATTAATGTATTAAAATAAATAGTGATTCCATTGAAGTAGATAAATAGTAGCCATATTAGCAAGGTAAGGATATAATTGGTTTGCTTTGAGAAATTAATGTATTCAAATGAATAGTGATTCCATTGAAGTAGATAAATAGCAGCATTATTAGCGAGGTAAGGATAAAATTGGTTTGCTCTTGGGGAAGAATTCATTTTTTTTTTCAAGCTTGTAGTAACACACTTTAATGACAGAGGATTTGTAAACAGAGGTATTAAGCAGTCCTTGTAATAGTTACCTCTCTCGCCTTAGAAAATATAAAAATATGAATACCATTCTTGTAGCTTTTGGTAAGCCAGTTGGCATACAATGAGTTGAACTCTTTAAAAATGAAAGTTACTGTGTCGTCTTTGTTGTGCTCTGATAAAACACTACCTGAAATAACAGCTATATCAATATTTAATAAGTAATTGTTTTTATTAACAATAAGGTGAGTCGCGATGGCTGTAATATTATATTCATGCAGTTAAGTTGAATAATTGTCTCCATGGGTATAAAAGAAGTTGGCAGTGCTGGCAATCTAATGTAAGAAATTTAAATAGCTTGATTTTGCGGTTAAATTAATAATCAGTTTACTGAGAGGATGACAATATTTTATCATCACAACCTCTAATGATACAAAATATGAACAAAATCGCTCAACACTTCCTCCGATAGCAGAAATGGGTTTATTTATTTAACACTCATTTTTGTTTAAGTGTCAATTATAAATCATTTATTCATTTATTGCACTTTATTATTAAAATGAATATTTGAGAGATATTTATTCATTTATTGCACTTTATTATTACAATGAATATTTGAAAGATCAATACCACAAATATTAAAGCAATAATCTCAGTTTACATTTTATTGTTTTGTTTCAAATGCAAAATGTATGTTATTTAAAAATTGTGCACAATGTTCTGTTTTACTTCTGGGTGTGGAGTATGTACAGTATTATGAAGATTTTATCACAAATTTGTTATGTGCAATTTTACATCTGTACTTGAAGCATGCTTATGTGTTCATTCATACCCAAGCATGTAAAATATGACTGTTAGCTTATCACATGCTGCCTCTGCCAAAGATCAATCACCTGAGTTAATAAATATTTATTTCTTATAGTTATAGTAATAAAGTATTCATGTGTCCTTTTTTTACTTCACTTGTACTTAATTTATGTAAAAAGAGAATAGATCCTTATTTTTGTGCAATTCTGCAGTTATCTTTGCACTGGAGAATGATGTATTACTCTATGATGTATTATTCTATCAATAAGCAACAGCTTTCTTTTTAAAACAATAAATTGATTATTTATTGTACATGTGTTCATCCCACTTAAATAGAAAATTTTTAAAACGTAGTATGATTTTCAAAAAAAATAAAATGAGTTTTTTTTATCTTTGCCTAATTTTCCTTTCTGTCATTTTTTAACTTATGTGCCACTCCTTAAGTTGCTAATCCTTTGTATAAGATTCATTGTTTGGGTTTTGTTTTGTTTTTGGACACAGTTTGATGAAAGATTAAAATGACTTAAAATGAACCCCCAAAAATGCCTTCAGTTATTTTATTGACCACCAACTTGGTAATCCTGACCATGCTAATATCTAAGATTACATTTGGGTTGATGATCAGCCTTTTATAATTGTCACCATTAGTTGCTACCGGTGTGGTGTTAGAACTTGCTACCATTTATAACATAGTCAAATTGTTTTTCCGAGCTAAGAAAAAATGTTTTCTCACAAAGCTGACCAAATGGATTTGTTCAGGGTTGTAAATGATGGAAAATGCCAGTTGGCATACAATGAGTTGAACTCTTTAAAAATGAAAGTTACTGTGTCGTCTTTGTTGTGCTCTGATAAAACACTACCTGAAACACCTGATTATTTAATAAAACAATTTAAGGTGCAGGCGTAATCAGAATGTTTCACTATCCCCGCAAGGCACCATACCACAAAATGAAGACATCCCAACATATTTAGGGAAGCTCAGGATTAAGTAGCCTACATTTTTAAAAACAATTTAGCTAAAACGTACCCTGATAATTCCTTTGAAAATTTGAATATTTTTTTGAAAGAAATATAAAATAACTTATTAATTTAAAAGAAAAGTGTATCATTATCATCACAGTGGACACAATAAGGACATAAATGCCTTTCATTTAAAGTCAAGGCTTCCTATCACATCAGTAACATCATAAAACAGAACAGTCACTCTTCTTGAATCAATTCTTTACCAAATATAGAGATGTATAGTTTCTTTATTAATCAGCTTTGATTGAAGAAAAAAACTGTGAATATAAAGTGAAAACCTGGTTTGAATACAGGGGGAGCTGCATAAAGTACAATACATATTATTTCAATTTATTTCTATGAGAGAGGTTTTTAATGAAATAGAATTGCTATCACACTGTCTCATCCATGACGTTCACACTGCCTCAGCCATGACTATCGCACCATCTTAGCCATGACTATCACACTGTCTCAGCCATGACTATGGCAGTCTCACACATGACTATCACACTGTCTCATCCATGATGTTCACACCATCTCACACATGACTATCACACCATCTCAACCATGACTTCAATAAGTTTGTTAGAAGCTTAGCAGAGGATTAATTAGTTGATAATTTGAGGATTATAATGTAAACCATACATTTTTTCATTATTCAATGATAAAAATAATTTGTAAAGCGTGGTGTGGTATTTAATTTAATTGAGATTCAGTTTTTACAAAAGCTGGGCTTTTAAAAAAAAAACAAAACATGTTTTCAGGTCCTTTAGAGGCTAAAAATGATAAAGTCCTGTGCATAACTCATAAATATTAATGATCAAAAAATAAATTACAGTAATCTGAAATGCAAAATAAAAGTAAAGTCCTATCTATAAATATTCCATTTTTTTTCTTTAAATTTTTTTACCATTCAAACTGAACTGCAAATATTGATAAAACAATGAAAAACATAAAGATTATAATCTGTAATTGCAGATCAACCTTTATTAGTGAATTGATTAAAATTTTTCTCCGTTTTCTGAGAGAACTTTACTTTTCCTTTAAGATGAAATAAGTTTATCTAGAAATACTGGGCAATAATATATCCAAAAAAACAAAAAAAACTATTTCCAAAACTAGAAAATTAAAATAATTATAATTTACAAATGAGGATTTTGTGTTTTCTTCTAAAAATTTGAATTTTTAAAAAAATCAATGACCTTGTAAAATCAAAATCTAAGGGATGGCTATCTAAATCATCACATGAAGGTTAGGAAAAGTATTTCATTGAAACACAGCAGGAATTAATCAGCTTGATGTTTTCTATTTATATAAGCCTGGAGAGAGATGCAAAGAATGCACATGTTTAGAAATAAAAATTTGCTGAAATGTAAAATCTTGATTGAAAAAGTTAAATTCTTGATTTTAAAAAGTTAAAATCTATTTTAAAAAAAGTTTGACTCAAAACAAAATATTAGTGTGCAAATTATTCCAGGTAAAGTACTTGAATTAAACATACTGCCAATTCAAATGACTTTAGTTAAAAGGTTTGGTTTATTTCCAACATATATTATATGCTGAGCCATAGTTTAGAAGCAACTGTCACTCTAATTAAAAGGTATGACCAGGCAGGATTTGTTTAAATGAAATCATTCTGACTGTGTTGATATGTCTAAAGTTCATTTTTTACTTATCATCTCCACTACCCTTAAGCCTTGTATGGCAGACCCTGCCACCTATGAGATTTTCAAAGTTCATGATGATAAGATCAAATTTCCTTTGGAAATATTCAGGATCAAATGTTGACTTACTTGCCCAAGTCCCAATGTGATTTATGTCATCCTTTGTAAAAAGGGCAGAAAATAATATGTAGGTTAGACTTGGAGACCATTTTAGAGAAAACTTTTACTACATCAGTAAAGAAGCCCTTTGTGCTCTTTCTAAACCTTTCAACAGTGCTAACCATAATGAAATATTAGACGCAGTTACTGGTATAATGTATGCAAGTAATTCAGCTGATAGGATTTATATGGAAAACAAAATAATAAAAATATTTGGTTTGTTGCCTCCATATGGTATAAAAAAAATTCACAATTTTACACAGTTGCAATGTCTTTTTCCTGTTTGCTTTTTTATGCTACTTTCACCTACTTTCTTTCTGTTTTTCTGATCTTTGTTTTCATTTGGGACTTGTGCCCATCCTTATCTTTTTCTTTCATGTTTAGATAAAGGTAGGATATACATTAAATACATATATTATATACATTTAATTTATAATTATATTCATTTTTCTTTGTTGTACTTATGAAGTCATTTGCCAAAACATTTGAATTTTTATTTTGTCCAATCATAATTAAAGCCTACATTTAAAAAAAAAAAATTACACAAAGTGTTTGTGTCTCAATAATCTATGTAAGTCAAGAATATTTTATTTGAGCAAAAACATACACTTTTTATCTGGCTCTGTACATAAATAAGCATTTTACTCAACTGATGTTTTCCAAGTCTTGAAAAAATTTGGAGTATTAACATGAGTTGTAATAATGGGAGTTGAGTATTAAGAAAACACAGTTTAAAGATAATGTAAAATTAATAGTTAAATAGAACAGCCTCTGCAAGATGTCTGCACACTATCAACTATTGGGAAACATTATGAGGGCATGAAAGGCCATCATGAGGCTGCTGATGTTTCATGCCAGTACATTCTGTTGTATACTTATAAGTAGCCACCTCGAGAAATGTTTGTCAACAAGTAAGGATTCACCTGAAAGTCTCACTTTTGCAAAGTTGGTGAAACAAAGTCCAGTTCACCTGTGTCTTAAAACAGAAATTCCCTGTTTATTGTAAACATGAATTTTACATGAATTATTTATACATTGATTAGGGGCCTAATTCCATCTGTATTGTCCGGTGTTAATAGAGTTAGCAAATGTTACATTGTCTGACTTGATGTCATAACCAGCTGGAACAATAATCAACAGAAACACGTATGCAAAGACCGTAGCGATGAAAGACAACAGGAAAAGACATCTGTCTACAACTTTTGCAATGGTGCACCATTCGGCAATCATGATTCTTGCCCTTTTCAACACAAGTTTGGGGTTCTCTTGGTTTGGGCTTCTTATTTTCCTCTTGTGGCGATTGTACCGTTGCCTGTGTCGGGCTTTAGCAATGTTAGAAGAACAACTGTCAAATGATTTGTGTTGATTTGGTTTTCCTAAAAGAGTCTGCAGTGGTTCGATATCTTCATGCACGCCATTCAAACACATACATGAATTATTTGTATCGTCCTTGGCAGTAGGCACAAAATCCTCACGCATGACCCACACATCTTCCATGTCTGTACCACATTCACAGTAGGTTTCATCAGAATGACAAGGCCTGATGTCTTTATTATGATGTGCATTGCAGCAGTCATCCCCTTCAAACAGCAGAGGTGTGTGAGATGAGAGAAAGTCTGCCTCAGAATCAAGTAGCCCGTTCTCTGATATTACTGGCAAGGCCGGACCACCTGATGAGTAAATAAATCTGTCATCCAGGGTGGTTTCCTGTTCATTCTGGTCATTGTTAAATAATTGTGAGCTTACACCATCTTCTTCTGAATTCACCTGTAGATGTGTGTCTTCGTCTGAATTCACCTGTAGATGTGTGTTGATTGGACCTGGACTGGAGGATTTTTGCAAAAGCGTGGAAAGCCTATAAGTATCGTTGATCTCCTCTACTTCTGATGATGGTTTGGGAAAAACCTCATTATTTTTTATAACAGGATGTACCTCCTGGTATTTGTGAGGAGTGGAGTTGACCCCATTGTGTTTCAAAGAGTTTTTTAATGATCTCTGGGAGCAGGCTTTGGAAGAATTACTTTGTTCTTGGACTCGATTCAGTTTGGTGATGTTGTCTGTGGCACTGGAGCCTGACAAGCTGTCTGGCTCACTGTACTTACAGGTAGCGTTGTTATTGTTTTGGTTGGTTGTCCTGCTGTCATGTAAGATGAAGTATTTACAGTAGTCAGACTGAAATAAAAATAAAATTAAGTAATATTTTGTTTCATGGCTTTCCTCAAACAATGTTATTAAATTATTTTATTATATTAATTGGAAAGGCACAAGATAAAAATATGTTTTTTGTATTTATTGAATTTCAATGGACAAATAATCCAAAAGTGAGAAACAAATAAAACAGAAAAGTTTTTAAATGCGCAGAATTTGCTTATCTTTTCATTTTAAAAAAACATACCAGCATACACTGGTCATTGTTTAACATGATTTTATTATGTCTCATGACATCTTCCCCAAATCATGTACCGGGTAACTTAAATTTTGCAGAATTTTAGCTGCAGGTTTTAAACATATTTTAGCATTAATATAAAATGAGTTGAATTTCAAATGATTACAAAAACTAAGTTTAAATGATTTCACAGATCTTTTTACCAGAAAAATCGTTGATGCTAAAAGCTGCACATCTTGGCTGACTCTGAATGGTAGAGCCAGGTAACGAATGAACAAACTGGCCACCCATCTAGGAGCCGGTTTAAGCTTTGATCCTCTGTTGTGTAAG